TAGGAGAGAAGGCCTTGGGGGAACAGTCGAACAGACTAAACGCTGGGTCATCCGACACATACTCACTAGTCGTGTAATACTCTTCTGTTGTACTTACTGTTTAATAAATGATATATCTGTAACACTTGTTGGTTATTTCTTTAAGCATCTACTTGGTCACAACACCCTGGTACTCCGATTACAAGAATGTAAGCGTTCTACTAGATTGGCATCTACGTCCCACGATTTTACAGTTGAAATACTTAAATGTAACAGCCACTGCTGTTACAACAGTTTCTTTCCTAGAACTTCTTGACATTGGAACTCTCTTCCTCTCATTTGCTTCCTTCATAACTAAAAATTTAAATGCAATGTCAGTTGCCATTTTCTGTTGCCTTGATCCGTTTTTTTTCCTCAGAATCCCCCCCATGACACCTACTCTTTTTTCTTACTTTCACTCCCCATAACCCCTTTGCAAGCAAATGGCTTGATTGAGGTGAAATGTTAAAAAAAAAAAATTAATGTATACACTTGTGTAAAAGCCGGATTCATATATAGTGCAACCCTTGAATTTTTTTTGTATGAATTTTTACCACTACAGAAAAAAATTACCAGTGTATAGTGCAATTGGTCACTGAAAACTTTATATAGTGTTACCTGCTATTTTTTGCCTTAAAAAAATTAATCATAAACACTTGCACTCGACATGAGTATATATGGTACATAAAACATATATATACGGTACATAAAACTAATAAATGTGTGAAATGTAAAAAAAGAATATGTGATGTATTTTCATGAAAATCAATAAACAATTATGTTTTCCAAACAAATTTCTTACTCTCTATAGGATCAAAGAGTAGAATTTATCTTTTAAGAATATATATATATATATATATATATATATATATATATATATATATATAAATAAATAAATAAAAAGAAAGTACAGTAAGATATATAATCCGGTGTTCTTATAGATATTTTTATTTTTACAAAATAGTGCTCAATGTAAATTTAGAGAGCATTAAAAGTTAAGTAATATATATAAGATTACTTAACTTTTAAATATCAATTTTACCACAACTTCAAAGTTTCCTGGTAAGATTTCCATTCTTCAGAGGGGTTCGGTTTTAATTGATATTTCCTATATAATTTAAATGATATATTTGGAAATGTCATTTAAAATAGAACCCTCCTTTTTTATGTAATATTAACAATCTTTTTTATATAATATTAATACACTTTTTATATAATAATAATGCTCTATTTTTAATATTATTTTAATATTTTTAATATTGAGCACTATAAAAATATCTGCTCTTTCTTAAATGTTATATATATATATATATTCATAATAATTCATAATGTCTAGAGATAGACTCCTCAACACACACGCACATGCAGAAAAGTTCTGGATGGGCATTTTATTCTTTTTTGGGACTCATCAGCAGTGCGCATCCACTACTGACTCTGAGAAGTGAACCTGGATCATTACAATACAACACAAGCATCATATCATTGGGCCATCAGGCCTCAATGGTGAAGAAGAAACTAAGTTACTAGACACAATATAGTGAAGATCATGCTATTTCTGGTGATGATGTTCATCAAAGTATACATAATCCACAGGACTGGCCCCAAGAGCAATGACTTTCTTCATGGTGAATTATTATGAAAGTTATACAAATCCCCAAATTACTAATCAGTTATATATATGTAAAAAAAATTAAAAAAGATTAAAAACAATGGAAGCCTTAATAATAAAAAAGAAAAAGCTAACACTCACTAATATTAACTACGAACATGGATACAGTGTGCTAACTGTGGTCGGAAATTAAAACATCCCTATAACTCTAGAAACATACACATAATCCATACTCCCAGTTAAAAAAGTAAAAATACAACAATCCCTGATAATGGATAAAAGTATAGCAGAAAGTGATTAGAATTAGAGAACATTTGGACACTTTCTACACACACACTGTGTCCAGAAAAGAAAACACTTGTTTGAACACAAGAAAAATTAAATAAAAAGCTTAATCGCAGTACTTTGTCATTTGTCTTTAATAAAATATGTATAAATGAGGGACTGCTACCTAAATACACAATATATATATTTAAAAAAAAATCATAATTTAAGCTCTACTTTGTATGGAGCACTGTTTTTTAAGAATAAAACAAAATACAAAAGAACTCCGGATTATTTACCGAACGTGTTCTTTCCTATTTTTCTACCTACCTGCAAAACACACACACATTATATATATATATATATATATATATATATATATATATATATATATATATATATATATATAATTTATAAATCAGTTCCAAAAAAAGTATGACATGTCATTATAATTAAAACTTAGTCTGATTAACATAATGTTCATGCTTATTTACTTTAAGATGAAAATCTATGCATTTGTATTCAGTTAAAAACATACAATGCAATTACTATTAGAATTGGTGACACACTAGTATCATTTGTGATGCTAGAATCTGTGGGTGTTGAAAGGGAGCCTCACATATATTATCTTGAAATATTTCAGGCTAAGGCAATGTTCAGTCATACAATCTGCTGATTTAACAATTATATTCTCAGTTTTCCTACCAATCCAATACTGAAATGATATATGCTTGTTGGTTTGTCTGTCTATATCACTAAATAGTGATAATTATCTATCTATCTATCTATCTAATTTTGTGAACATGACTTGTGTAAATATTCTTACTCTGTCTCTTCCTCCCTATATATATATATATATATATATATATTTGGTAAGCATTTCATCCTAAGCAAGGCGGGAGTGCCACTAGTATGCAAGGGGTTACAGAGAGTGAAAGTATAGTAGGGGTTGTGGAAAGGATAAAAAGAAGAATAGAGATCAGGGTATCAGAAGATGTTGATTGACATTACATTTAATTTTTTGACGATTATATATATATATATATATATATATATATATATATATATATATATTGGGTAAATCTGTTCTCCATCTTTAGTTTGAAAATATTTGATTTTGTTCATTTATCATTTTTTGCCTTAGATCTATCTATCTATCTAAAATTGTGATTATTCTCATTCTATTTAGCTAAGACTCTCTAGTGGGTAAATTTAGTATTGAGTTCAGTCTGAGAATATTTCTTAATTTATCAGTTTCTTACCTTTGATCTCTCTCTCTCGCTATATATATATATATATATATATATATATATACCTCAGTTTATGAGTGTCTATCGTTAATGTTCTTGAGAGAGAGAGAGAGAGAGAGAGGGATGCTCTATCTCGCAACACACAAAAACCCTTGTTACCTTCGACTCTCGTGATCTGTAAGAAGCTCTTAAATATAATAAAATAGAATATTTTATAAAAGAAAAAAAAGGCAAAGAGATGTAAGTAAATAAAACAAGGAAAAGAAAAAAAGAAACGAAAAAAACCCAAAAAAAACAAAAAACGACAAAGCAAAAAATACTGAGCAACATTAACCCAGCTCGAATGTATTTCCACTAGATTTCCACTGCAGAAAACCAGGGCTCCACCTTCTGACAGCGTATGTAATGGAACAATAGCTAATAGTAGTGCAGTTGCAGTCAGTCAGATTGTTGCTTGTCTACAGAGCAAATGCACTCGATATAGACAAGCTGATGATATGCAAGAATCTCTACAGACAATTGTTGATTGCACACTCAAGCACAGATTTACACTACAGCTTTCTTTTTAGTTTTTTACTAGCAAAATGGTTGATTAAACATATTTTTTTTTAAATATTAGCGTCGCTTAAAATCCGTAACGTCGCTCATCCCGTAAAGACGTACGCTCTTTGAATAAAATAGAATAAATCATTGTTCGAGTTTGAGACTTTAATTTTCAAAATCGTTTTTAAATTTTACTTAAACTATCATCCTCTACGTGACTGATAATTTGCTACATAGTATAAGAATATAAATCATAAATAAAAAAAAAACATAAGTAAATCTATTTCCTATTTTTGATTGCTACATTGCGATGAATAGCGTTTCAAAATGGTGACTTTGAGTCAAATATACATTTTTAAATAGGTACCTCCACTAATTCGGTATAGCCAAGGTTTAAATGAATTTTCATAAATGAAAAATCTTACTTGAAGCTTTCATTTTAGCTTTAATTGAAAGCTAAAGGATTAAATTTACTTTTTCCAGTAAGCAAAATACTCTGTAGTGTATTTCAAACAGAAATTCTATTGGTTCGAGTCAATTCATTTTTGGGGGGCTAAAAATAGCTTATTAGTGCCCTTTTTTAGACATCTGTCATCGCAATAGATTTTTCTTTTATCATTCTTTTTCTACAATTTGGGTATTCACTTATTCGGAATTCTGAATTACCCGAATACATTTTTTAAAACTCTTGTTCCAAGGTATCCGGATAATTGAGGAAGTACTGTGATGGTCAACCAAATTATTCACTCACCCGGAAAATATTTTCAGGCTTTAAATAACCTGCAAAAAGGTTGATAAACCGTAAAAAGACAAATCAATCAATCAACCTAACAGGTACCTGTGAGTGGAAACGGTGAGCCGATTTCAAATTCTGGTCTAGCCTGTTGCATTCACTTTTGTACAAATGCTCTTGGGAAATGTCTGAATTCGTCTTTCCTCCCCTCGGCTCTAGGTTAAATAGCAGGGTAGACTGGACTTTCTAACCTTGCGTGATTAGAGAGTTCTAATGCAGATAGAACTAGTTATCGTGTTTTGCTTGCAAGCTGAACATAATTTTAAAATTTAAACATGGCGCCTCTACTGACCTTGTCTGAATAAGTCAACAAAAACCATGTCTAATTATGTAGACAAAATATAATCTCAAAATCTTTTCAAAATCACTTTTTAATAAATAATTTATTTTTAAAAACCTTATGCTTTTACTAAAAACCAAGAATATCTTTTTAATATTCATGCACTGCTATTTAAAATTTGAATTTCAGACATATCCAGCTCTTTTTCTTTTCTGGTTTGTACCTTTTTATTCTTCTCGGACTTACAGCCATATCACGTTAAAACATCGATTCTCGTGCGATCACCGAAGTTAAGCAACGTCGAACCCGAGCAGTACGTAGATGGGTGACCGCTTGAGAATACTCTAAGCTTGAATGTGCAGGTGGTGTAATGGAGAACGACCTGGAATTGGGAAACGAAGATCCCAGTTCCAATTCCGGTCGTGTTCTTTATATTCACTTACGTGCAAATACATTTGAAAAAGGTATAAATTCACCTCTTCTCCCCCAGTTATGGGTTAATTAGTAAGACTTGTAACAGTAAATCATTATTTTCTAAAATAAATTCTTACAATCTAAAAATATTTTCTAGTTTTAAATAACCTGTAAAAGGTTCATAAGGCTGTTCTACTATTTAACCCATAGCCGGGGAAAAGAAAAGAAACTCTATCTTTTCCAAGGTATTTGCGCGAAAGTAACGAATACTTGCCGATTTTTCGTTCTACGCCGTTAACCATTACACCACCACCTGCACATCCAAAATAGATGTTAGCAATGTCCGTTCTGAGATTATAGTCATGTCGAACTTGCACAAAATCGCAATAAATCCGAGAGACAAGCAAATGCAAGATATCCCGATTATCAATGAGGCGGTTGTTAAATCAGAGGTTTTCCTTCTTTTAGACAGATACCTTATCAAAGGTTGGGATCGATTACTCTCAGTAGCATAACCGTGCGGCTGGACACGAACACAGATATTTTTTCACCCCACCTCGCGCGCACAACCACACGCATATCTATCTATCTATCTATCTATCTATCTATACTCGTCTACTTTTATTTAAAGAACTTAACAACGTGAAACAAAAGCTCGTCAATAACGGTTTTCCGAATTAACTCATAGATCACCATATTAGACTTTTACTTTCTAAGCTAACCAACAGCAACACTGAACATACAGATAAAAACAATAACATTAACATTTTCTATAAAAATCAAATACATGTTAACTGTAAGCAGGGTGAATCTTCCCTTAGAAACTTTATAAAGAAATATACAACTCCAGTCGACAAAAACAAGAAAATTAAATTATCTACTATAAAAAATTTTAAACTGCTAACCTCATCGTCAACGACAATAACTCACCTGCAAGATCCAAATTACAGAGAACCATTATTATATACAAATTCACATGTCCCTTGAGGAACCGTGTTTCCGATTAAACCAAATTCATAAATAATTATATTGGATATACTACAACATGTCTAACGATAAGACTCTCAGGACTATAGGTCAATTAGGTCTCATTTAAATACACATGGAGACCTACCAAACTATCTGCAACATATTTGTTGATAATACAAATATAACAGCATCATCCAAATGTAAAAAAGGCTATAAATAATGGAAGCATTATTAATAAAAAAAGAAAAGAAGAAAAAGCCAACACTCGATAACATCAACTATGAACACGGCCAAATTCTCTAACCGTGTTTAGAAAATAAAACAAAGATACATACATAAAACAATCCATACATTTAGTTAAAAGTAAAAATAAAATAATCCTTGATAATGATAGGTACAGCTGAAAGGGCACGAACATACAGAGCATTCAGACAATTTCTACATAATTTATGTCCAGAAAGAAGAAAATTATAAGAACAGAAGAAAAAATAAAGAAAAAACTTAACCGCAGTACATTGTCAGTCGTTTTTAATGCATCGTGCATAAAAGTTACTGCCCAAATACACAATTATATATATATATATATATATATATATATAAGACGTGTCTCATTAAATAATTTGCGCAAGTTTTGTCTAGTTATTTTTAATAGGATCCTCACGTAATTACGAACAGTAGTAGCAGCAAACTTGTTAAAACCAAAATTTGAGACGATTTTAGGAGCGATTTTAAGTGTCAGTTTATATCTAAATCCCTGTCTCTACATCTCTCTACTTTCTCTCTCTCTATATATATATATTATTTAATGAGACATGTCTTAATATATATATATATATATATATATATATATATATATATATATATATATACGAATGTATATGCTTATAAAGCCGCGTAAATTTCAAGATTTGATATTCTAAAATTCGCTTGAGGTTGAAACAGAGTTGGTACTTTAATTCAATTTAATTTTTATAATTAAATTGAAGATTTAAGCTTCTGCTTTTGAAACATGAGCACTCTTATGTAGCGATGGAATCATATGTTTAAAATCATTATATATATATATATATATATATATATATATATATATATATATATACGTGTGTGTATAAAGACATGTCTCGTTAAATAATTTACACAAATTTTGTCTAATTATTTTTAATAGGATCTTTTCATAATTACAGATGAAAGTCCTAGTATCCCTATTAAAAAGAAGAAAGAAAATTACGATGTTGAAGAATATTCATTTTCTTCCGAGTACTTTTGACATTAGCATAATGTTGTCATCAGGGTCTTATTTTTTCTAAGACAAAAAATTGTGTTCATCATTTTTCTCAGACAAAATTGTTGTGTTCATATGAAAATTAAATTTTTACGTGTGAAGTGAAAAAAAAGGTTATGTTCTGTACAATTCTTAAATTTTATGATGTAGATACACGTGCAAACGTCAAGGGCGGTAACTAATTTATTGAAATATTTTTTTTAAAAAAAGAACTAACTATTTAAAACTATTAGTTAAAACCTAAATATTTTAAACTATCTACTGCAACCATTTTAAAACATTTTTGCAGTATTTATAATTAATTTTATTAAGGGTTGGTTTCAATTTTTTTAATATAGATAGCTTCAAGAATGTTTAGTTTATATTTATTATTTTCATGAAAAAGTATATATATATAATATATATGCGTGTGTGTGTTTGTGTGTGTGAGTAACTTTGGTTGTAAATCTGACGGAATGGTAAATATATAAGAGAATTCAGAAAAAAATATACTTTAACGTTTCGACGATTATCCGGCGTCACGAGAAAAAGACTTATATTTGAAAAGAACAAGAAATCTACATTAGCGAGACAAAACGAGTTTTATATTAAATGAGTAATTTCAATTCAGTTTTTATTTCATTTATTTTATTTACTGGTATTTATTTTCCAAGGTTTTCCTAGCCCAAATTGTTTCGGTACTAATTTAAGAACAGAGGATCATAAACAGAACAGATTCGCTCGGGCAGAATCAGAGGGTACAATGGACCCGGGCATCCATATCGAGAGGGTATCTAATCAAAAAGTGAAATAAAAATTTAGTTTATATTTAATTTGAATAAATTATTTATTTCATGTTTTATTTATTTTTTACATATCTTTCTTTCCCACATTTTTCAGTACTGGGTTCTATAGGCCGGCCTACTTGAGTTTTAGTGGCATACAATCAAGGAGTTGAAACTGAGCATTACCAACCCTCTGCAGATCACTGATGTACTGATGATTGAAAATTCTTACATCATGACACTCAATGCATCTTTGTCTGAGGAAATTATATTATGTTTTCCTTTTTTAAACGTTGTGTGTTTTCTAGTTTAAAAATTGTGATTAATCTATCTATATATGTAGGTTATCCTACTTGACTTTGCCAAAAGTGCTCGCTAGGAGGCGCTCATTCAGCCTATAAAAAGGCAATATTTTCTCTCTCTTTTTGTTCTTTTGAGCGCTGGCTTTCAGATGTAGTCGCACATAGATAGGAAATCTGCCGCTGAGGTGCGCTCCTTCTTTGATTTTTGATCTATATCTATCTATCATTTGTCATTTTATATATATATATATATTATATATATATATATATATATATATATATATATATATATATATATAAAGTTTGATTAATTACCAATCCAAGTTCCTTGAACATCAAATAAAAGAAAAATAGTTATCAAGGAACTTTTGAATTAAACTATATATCACTTAGCTATATCTCTGTAGCTAAGTGGCATGGCAGGTCAGATCAAATGACGGTTCCGTATACGACACATAAATGTAATTAATACCGTAAATGTAATTAATAATGTTTGATTAAAAAAACAGACTATTAAATAAATTGTATCTATTAAAATAACGTATAAACAGAAAATACATAAAATAATTGTTCGACTTAATCCATTTCATAATATATATATATATATATATATATATATATATATATATATTATTATTCATAAAAAAGCTGCAAAAGTATCACGACGATTAAAATTTTTAGGTACCTTTTCGGCTGACACATCTTCAGAAAAATCGTCGGCAATAATAATCTGTTTATATATATATATATATATATATATATATATATATATATATATATATATATATCAGAGTAATCTAAGAGAAAGTGGAAAATATGTTTGTGTAACTACTCTTGCTTTATATCAATTTCTTTTTCTCCTATACATAATTTGTTATAGCGGATCCATACGCCAAAGTATGAAATGTTTAGTCTTTACTAATTCTACATGGATTTTTATGATGAATAAAAAGGGTATGTAACATGTAGCTGTATATTCATCACTAAGAATACTGAATACCTGAAAACTCGAGTCATGTTCTTAAATAGCTTTGCCAGATCGAGACATCATGCATTGCGCCAGATCAGTCCAGAAATATCTAAACAGTTAGCTGTGTACAACCGCTTCCTAAGATCAATGGTGAAAAAAGGCTTTAAGCAAGTGAAGCTTGAGGATTTTGCCAAAGATCATTCTTCTTTGAATATTGTGGACTGGCGCTACAGAATCACAAAGAACTATACTAAATAAGAAAAACCGCATCACATGAGAACTACGGACAGTAGCAACAACTAAATTGGATATCACACGTAAATCGTAGAGAAAACAATGACATAATCAAGATGTTAACATTCCTCTCTATTTCAAATAAAAGGTTGGGAAGGAACCCCACCCCCCGTTCCCGATCCCATCAATACCAGAAAGAGAAACAGCTAATGAACTTGAAAAACCTATCTACTTGAAAAATTGTTTTACTAGAAAGATTTTATAAATTTCAGCCGAAAGCATTCGTGATTACTCGGTCAATGAATGTCAAATGTTTCCTAATAGGGAAACAGCTAATACTACTATTAATACTTCCATTACCACCATTGGATAGTCCTGATGGCAGGGCTAGAGGTTTGGCCGCTTTTAGA